CGTCGGTTTCTTGACCCGTCGATCGCTGCCCGGTAAAGATACTCCGTACATGCATTGGCCGAATTTTGTGGCCAGGACGGGCAGGCTGCTGAATGCGACCGTGTGCCACGCTCTCGAAGTAGACGGATGTTTGATGGGAGCGGGACGTCCAGCTCCGCGTTGCATCTGGTAGACGTCTGCAGCGCATGTCAAGTGCAGTCGATGGTGCCAATCGAGTAGGTCAATGAGGCGTTGCCTCCCTTCTTTGAAGGCCACAACAGCAGGTTCCCAGAGCCTGGCTTGACATCTTCTGGCAATTTTGGTGTGTACGAAGGAGTCCCAGAATACAGTCAGACACAGTGTATCTTTGCATTCAAGAGGTACGCGTGGTGTTTTCGCACAGTCGGAAACAGAGGTGTCGTTCGTGAGAGCGTCGGCGTGCCCCATGGGGTTGGTTGTGGCAGGTCCTGAAGAGGATAGGCAACCACACGCCGAAACGGTGGAGACGGACTGGACCAGGGGTGCCCGAAAGAGTGGGCATACCAAGTCCTAGACCAGAAAGGGAACCAACCCTGGCGCGGTTAGCCGTTGTGAGGCGAGCCTGAGGCGGGCGTACCAAGAATGCCTTGCATGTTGCACTAGTATAGATATGCTTGGCGAGTGACTCAACGAGGTATTCCTTCTATCCGGGATGCTGGTGGAAGGTCAGTTCCTGCACGTTTGATCGTGGGCCGCACATCGGGGATATACGCACCTCGTCCGGCTGCTCCTCGAAAAGCTTCTCCTTGAACAACTCCTGGCGCTCGACCTTGGCGGAGTCCCTTCTGGTACGTAGGCCGAACGTCTTCAGTCTGGCTCCCAGATCGCGCAGCGCTTGAGATAGTCTAGTCGAGTTTCTCCAGCGTAGACTCCCCAAATCGTATTCCTGTTTGCACACTTGGTGCTGGCTGCTCGACGCATCGTCTGCATGTGCTGTCCGGTGGCGCGTTTCACGTCTGATTCGACTGTATGGATGAAAGTATTCGCAACATGTTTCGCCGCGTCCTGTAGGTCGTCGTTCTCGGTGCCGCTGGGACCCGTGTCTCTGCTTAAGGGATCTTGCAGGCATCAGTATGGTGATAGTAGCGTCGAACCGACCTGTGAAATCGGCGTAGCGGTGGAGCACTGCTTGCCATACCCGGCGTTTTGTTGGCACTGCCATTGTCTCATGTAGGCTCCGCAGCAGCTGACCTGAACACCTGGCTGTGGGCATGATTCTGCGTGGGGTCGCTGTGTCGCGGTTAGTGGGTCGCACTGCTCGCAGTCGCTCCTCGACTCCACCACGGGTGCGTTATCAGAAAACTCCAGAGCCGTTATCGTCTCGCTGCTGGGGTTCAAGAAATGGGCCGCGTCCGCCGGCTTGTACACAAAGTCGCGCTCCTTCTCATTGGTATTATCGTCAATAGCTTCCAGTTTCCAATAGGTCGACCATGTAGCACCTTGGTTGGACACCACCGTTTCCTCGAACTCGCCACCGTTCCAGCAAACCTTTTGCTTGGCATAGTCGACCATCACTTCGAACTTCTCGAGTAGCGGTTTTGGGAACCAAATTGGGGTGCGACCAGGTACCACGTTGGTGTAGAGCGTCCCCGTCTTATTCTTGAAGCTAGCTGGGACAATTCCACACCATTGCGCGTGCTCGATCTTGCCGCGGCACTTGAAGCAATTCAATAGCTCAAGAGGGTTGCCCATTTGGCAGTCGGCTATGTAGTCCGTGATCGTCTCCGATCCAGACATGCGCGTCGTCGCGCCGCAGTCCATGATGCCGCTCCTCGCGGGAATGGCCGTGGTAGATTTCTCGCTGTCCCAGTGAACCTCGTCGACCCTCATGCTCTCGTCCAAGCGCTGCCTCTTCTCCGGCGGCCCCGTGCAGTCGCGAGCCCAATGACCGGGTTTGACGCACCTCAGGCACGTAGCTGATGGTGATGATGAGGGAGCTGGCCTGCTGCTGGTGTCACCCCAACATACTTATACATATGTTCGTCGCCCCCCACAGGGGCGACGCGCGCACCGAGAAATCTTTTAGTAGATGCGTCGTGGCGGGCGTTTTCTGGCCACACCGCTTGGGACACTATGTACTACAAGATGGGTATGCTACATGTTTGGGTCGGACGCTCGCCTCCAAGGAGGACATAGAGTATTACTATGTCTCTGTGCGTCCCATGCTGGCAGCTGCTGCTCTGTCAGACAGTCTTGGTCTTGTGTAGGGGTTTGGTGGTGATGGTTGTGGTTCGCCCTTGCGCCCACCTGGACTGCCTTTCCTTCCTTTGGACTTGCCACGTCCTTTCGATCCTTTGGTTGTCGAGCGTCCTCGTCCTGACGCCGCCGTACGCCGTCGTAGGACTCGAACTTGCGCCGTATCCTTGAATGACCATCGCGACAACGGGGTAGAACCCTCTCGACATTTTCAGGTCGTTGAAGCGCTTCCTCGCCTCGTGGTAGGCCGCGTAGACCTCGTCGAACTCTCCAAGGTCGAACTCATGAGCGGTCGCCGTGTCGCGTTGGCAGTAGCTCTCGTCGCAGTCGCACCAGGTGGCGTCGTCCTCGGCCCAGTACTCCTGCTCGAAGTCCTGGTCTTCGTCGGCGTCGCCGGTGTAGAGCTCTTCCTCGTAGTAGTCTCCATCTTCGTCGACGTAGTATTGTCTCCGTGCTTGATTCGGCTCGTGCATCGTGCTCTCTTGCCCGATGGTCGCTTCGAGCGCCTCAATGATCTTGTCCTGCGTGATGTCCTCGCCCACGATGGTCATGATGATTGCTTTCTGATCTGAGCTGTTACCTCCACGTCGTAGGGTCAGCCAACTTCGAACTTTCGCTGGCAACTCGTTGTTATGCGTCTTGGGCTTACGCTCTGCTGCTCGGACTCTTGCCACGCAGACCCAGAGCGTCTCGCCGTTGTACCTCTTGAGGTTGTAGAAGTACCCCTCGAAGTCGTCTGCCAACTAACTCAGCCAGGTCGACCTTTTCGAATCGCTGGCGTAGCCTCGCCATCAGACTCTTGGCCGCGCCAAGCTTGGTCAGGTCTTCTGCCGACAGATCCTCCACTTTGTTCCACGCGTAGCCGGCGAGACCTGCACTGAGCATGAGAGCTGCTTCGCCCTCCTTGTTCTCCAGAGTTAGCTTCGCGATGAGTATCGGCAATCTCTTCTCGTACTCCTTACGTTTCGATCTAGTGCCGTCGATTTGTGGAACTCCTCTTTCCGGTAGTACGTGCGTTTTTTGTGTTGTTTTTCGCTATCTTGCCAGTGTTGGGGATGAGGAGGAGGTCCGAGCGATTTGGGTTGTCGCTGTCCGTGTCTATGCTGTGGTGGTCGCTTGCCTTATCGAAGCTGCCGCGCAAGATTCCGCTGGGATTATATTCCACTCCGAAGTCTACCTTGGAGAGCCTGTCGAGCTTCGCGTAGAAGTCGAAAGCCAAATATGGACAGGCAAAGCGTGAGCCTGGAGAGCCAGGCTCCGCTACCAATATGATACCATATCCTTCGAAGTCTTTGACGAATCTGAAGAACAGCAATAATAACCATTATGCATATGTCTATATGTATATGCAATGCCAGCCTGTGATTGACAAATGGCCAGACCCCCCACCGAGGCTGATGAATATATCCCGCGGGGCGCGATATTGTTTTTAACCACGCGCGCCAGGGGTAAGGAGCAGACGAGGAGGGGGAGGGAGGATAAGGAGGATAAGGAGGAAAAGCGGCCGTTGTCGGTGCGTGACAACAATTTGCTCGTGGACGGACAGCGCGACCATGTTTCCCAACGCCCATGTCGGACGCGCCAAACCTCGCTCTGCGCCTCTTTTTTTTGCCCCGCCGCAGGCGGCGGGCGCGCGATCTGAAGGAAGTGGGCCCTGGCGGGCTTTCCTCGCTGTCGGGCCGGTAAGACCGTCGGCGGATCCCCCACTACGGCCCTTGGCGGGCCGCGAGGCCGAAAAACAACCGAGGGCGACCTCCGGGGTCTGGGGCCCGCTTTCTTCAAGGCAAGCGTCCGCCGTGGCGAAAGACATTCAGGCCCGAGCGACGAAGAGAGCGGCCGCTGGAAACGGGCGCAGGCAGGGCGGGGGACGGCTCGGGTCGGACGAAAGGCTGGGGAAGGAAAGAGGGGTTGCAAAGCCTGCTGCGCGCAGCTGGTTTCGGTCGCCCCGCCGAAGGGCCAGTCTTCGACGCATGGCCGCGTTCGGCGCCAGGAGGCGCTTGGAAAATCGGCGACTTGAGCTGCTTGGCAAATCCCCCTTTGCTGCGCCCCACTTTCGTCCAGCCCGCCTTGCCCGCAGGCCACCATCGGTTCGACAGAAGGAATGGCGCCCTGGCTCGCCTCTGCCTCCAAACACCCCGCCCCTTGCCCCTCGTCGGCGGCTGGGCGTCGGCGCGAATCACAGGCGCCGCCCCGTTAATTTTCAATGTGGCGGGCGCCACCCCGCGATTCGCCCGAGCAGGGGAATTATTTGTGTGAACGCGCGCCCCCCACGGCTTTGTTAATCTCAAGCTGACATTATGACCATCACCTTTACACCTCGTTCTGATTTGCTCAAGGGCCTTGCAAGGTCTGGGCCGCTACAACAATGGAAGCAGTCCTCTTGCAAGCAATATGCAATCTACAAACAGAGAGATGCACAGCGTATCACTCACAGCGAGACAGGAGAAGGAGGAGGAGGAGGAAGAGAAGGAGGAGGAGGAGGAGGAGGAGGCGCGCGGCGCTGTGGATTGAGAACGAGGATCCGGCTACACAAAAGGGCTGGGACAATTATGACCCCCAGTGCAAGCACTGTTTTGGGAAGCGCTCCATCTTCGATTTTCGATCGAAGAGGAGGACGAGCAGGAGCAAGAGGAGAAAGAGGAGAAGGAGGACAGGAAGATAAGAGGGATGACGTAGCTCAAAGGAGAAGGTAATGGAGGAGGAGGGGGAGGAGGAGGAGGAGGAGGAGGAGGAGGAGGAGGAGGACGACGAGGGACGAGGAGGAACCGAGGAGGGAGGTGCCCCAGGTGCTCGCGGGCGAGTTCCGACAGGCCTTGTCGAGAGAGCGGTGATGCCCGCCCCCCGGCCGCGCGCCCCGCGCGGCGCTGGCACACGCCCAATCCGCGGCCGCTCGATCTCCTCCTCCTCCTCCTCGTCCTCCTCGTCGTCCTCCTCCTCCTTTTCCTCCTCCTTCTCCTCACTCCCTTCTCCTTTTCCTGCTACTCCACCTCCTCCTCCTTTTCCTCCTCCTCCTCCTCCACCTCCTCCTCTGTCACTCTTTTCCTTATAAATAATTACTGCCTGTCGCACCCTGCGGCCAGCTTTTACGGCGGGCTGGGCGTTTCGCCTGAGGCTTCATCATTTGTGATTATGAAGCGTAAAAACTTGCAACAGTTTCACAGGTGGAAGGCGGGTCGTTTTCAAAATGTGGTTCCCGCCTTTGCGCGGCGCACATTCTTTGCAAAAATGCACAAGCTTCACGGAGTGAGGGCGGGTGGTTTTCAAAATGTGGCTCTCGCCTGACCGCGTCGCACATTCGGTCTAAAAGTTTGAAGGAGCTTCACGGATTGATGACGGGTGGTGTTCAACATGTGGTTCTCGCCTCAGCGCAGCGAGCATTCGCTTCAAACATATGCAAGAGCTTCACGGATTGAGGGCGGATGGTTTTCAAAATGCGGTTATCGCCACAGCGCGGCGCACATTCGCTTTAAAAATGATGCCAGAGCTTCACGGATTGAGGGCGGGTCGTTTTCAAAATATGGCTCTCGCCTTAGCGCCGGGCACATTCGTTCACAACATTTGCAAGTGTTTCACGGATGCCCATCACCAGCGTGCCAGAAATGGTGTTTTGAAAGGATTCAGGATTATGCGGGCGCAACAGCTTTATTGATTCGCTGTGTTGAAATCCCAGGAATGGCTTTCTGGCGCGATCCAGGATCGTCAAGACGCAACAGCCAGGTTGGCTCCGTGGTGTTGGAATCCCGAGAACAATGTTTTGGCATGTTTCAGGGTGTTCAAATGGTTGCCTTACAACGAGGCAGTTCCCTTAATGGAAATGAGCCGTTGTAGGGTCCTATGAAGAAGGAGCTTGGAGGAAGGGTTTATTCCAACATCGTTAATGACTCTTGGGTTTACACTGGTCCTCCTCCTTCTCCTCCTTCTCCTCCTCCTTCCCCTCCTCCTCCTCCTCCTCTTCCTCCTCCTCTATCCCGTCTCATCCTACCTCCTCCCTCCTCCTCTATTCCTTCTCATCCCTCCTCCTCTTCCTTCGCCTCCTCCTCCTCCCTTCTCCTCACTCCTCCTTCTCCACCCCTCTTCCCCCTTCTGCGTCCTCCTCCGTGTCCTCCCTCCTCCTCCTCCTCCTCCTCCTCCTCCGATTCCTCCTCCGTTGCCTCCTCCGTTTCCTCCTCCGTCTCCTCTTCCGTGTCCTGCAGTGTTTCCTCCTCCTCCTCCTCCTCCTCCGCGTATTCTTCTTTTCCTCCTCCTCCTCCTCCTCCTCCTCCTCCTCCTCCCTTCTCCCTCCCTCCCTTCTCCTCCCTCCTTTTCCTCCTCCTCCCCCTCTCCTCTTCCTCTTCTTTCTCCTCTTCTCCGTCGCCTTTTTTGTTCAAGATGTTCGGATCCCTTGGATACAGAGCGGGGACCTCGAGTCCGACGCAGGCAAGACTGTTCAGCCTGGGAACGATACCCTCTCCCGACGGCTGGTCCGCCTCAGCTTGTCGTCCGTCTCCGTTTCACGGGAGAGCAGGTCACGATCGGTGCGTGCAAGTGGTATTGCAAGGGATGGAACATGGCACACGCGAAGAAGTGTGTCTTGCGCGGGCTTGCAAAAGGAGTAGCATTCGTGGGGAATGTGCAGCCAGTCCACGCCGTCGAACAGCAAGTCCAGCAGGGTTAGGTACCATGGAGGGCGGATGCCGCTCCTCCACCTGGACAGGCAAGTCGCTCCAAGATCCACGAGGTGGAGACAAATCTCAAGCAGCTGCAGGCGGAGAGCAAGAGGGGCGGTGTGCCCGCCCACAGGTGATGCCATGCAGATCGATGAGACTTCCCACGGTAAGGAGGGGGAGATTCGCTTGCGCACGGGGCCCAAGGTAGTTGAGGAACAGTTGGCGTGCGTGTCCGAGCACGGCGAATCCAAGGCTTGCCAGTACGCTGATACTTTGCGCCGGGAGAACAAGCAGATTTACGGCCAGCACCAGGCCTCACGCCCCATGGCTTCTAAGCTGCAGGCGATGGCGAACCGGCTCAATTAAGACTGCAGAGAAACGGGTTGATACATCACGTAAGTTTTTCCACGCTCGCAAGGAGCAGCTCGTGGAGGTGCAGGCAAGTTTGGCCAAGGCGGAGAGTCAATTGGCTGAGCAGGAAGAGGAAGTGGTGTCGCTCAGCGCGCAGGTGCAAGAGCTCACCCAGCTGGCACCGCAGGCCCCTGAGATGTCTTCGCTGCGTGAGAAGGGCCCAAACATACAAGCTGGCGTGGAGGCCCTGGGCATCGCGTTCCAGCAGCAGGGTTTTGGCGAGCAGGCTCCCGCTTTGGCGAAGATGCGATGGAGGCCAGCATGGGCCAGCTGCTCGCGGCGGCGTCGAAGGAGGCAGCGGGCGAGCTATTCCCAGTAGAGGGCGCGGAGACTGGAGGTGGTGCAGGGGGGCGGCCAAGGCTCGGCAGCGAGCGCGGCCAGCTGGGCCGTCGAGCCCCTCAGCCTCGATGAGATCGCCACACAGGCCAAGGAGGAGGAGCTGCTGGCCTCATTGGAGGCGCTCTGTCTAGGTGACCTGGCGAAGCATGAGCCTGAGGAGCCTGAGGACCTCGAGGGCCCTCGTGCTTCCGCTGCTCGTCTTGCCGCCAACCCCCTGTTCAACAGTGCCAGGCCGCGACTTGCAGTCGTGCAGGATCCTCATTGAGAAGCTGCCCCGCAATGGTATGCCGCTGCCTGGAGCCACCCGATGGGGTGGACGGGCACCTCCCACTGACTGTGGGTAGCCTGAGGGAGCCCACACCAGGGCAAACCTCCCAGGGGCGCGTGCGACAAGAGGTGAAGGTAGATCGGGGGGGGGGGGGGGGGGGGGGGGACCCGAGGAAGCCCTCGGTCGGATGGCCAGGGGTGTCCCGCGGGTGTCCCGCCGAAGTCCACTCGGTGCCCCGTCGTGAGATCGATAGTGAGATCGATCGAGAGATCGATAGTGAGACCGATAGTAAAATCGATAGTAAAATCGATAGTGTGGCCAATGGTCAGAACGATAGTGAGATCGATTGTCGTATCGATAGTGATATATATATATATGTATAAACTCAGATCTATGGTGAGATCGATAGTGAGATCTCTCGTGAGAGCGATAGTGAGATCGATAGTGAGATCGCTAGGGAGATCGATTGTGAGATTGGTAGTGAGATCGGTAGTGAGATCGGTAGTGAGATCGATAGTGATATCGAGAGTGAGATCGATTGTGAGAGGGATAATGGAATCGGTAGTGCAATCGATAGTGAGGTCACTGGTCAGATCGATAGTGAGATCAATAACGAGATCGATAATGCGATTGATTGAATGACACGTTGATTCCCCCACCCCGAACCTCCTTATCACCCGAGGGGTGGTCGCATAGGTAAGTCATGGTCTGCCGCATGGACTCCCGCAGTATCTCCTCTTTGACGTTTTGTCCGCATGGTCTTCCGCATGGTCTCTCTGTTTGGTCGTTTCTACAGTAATACAGCGCTCTCGATCTACTACTCTTCACTCTCGACTTGGTTCTCTATTGGTGATCTTGCGAAGGCCTTACAGCCACTGCCGCCAACCCTGAAGGCGGGACCTCCATCAGGATCCTCGCTGGCGACCCACCCAGGGACCGGCTGGGACCCTGGGGGGTGAGGCATTCTGACCCGGGACCACCCCCCACACCATAGGCGGGACTTCCCCCCGGACCTCCGCTGGCGACCCCCTCCCAGGATCCGCCTTGACCCCAGGGGGGGAAGGGCATTCCGACCTGTAACCACCAGCCCCCCTTGTACCCCCCGCTTCAGGGAATCGACTTCATTCGGACCTTGCCTTTCTTCGTTCCTCGATTTCCTTGGGACTGGCGACGACGACGACGACGACGACGACGACGACGACAGCGTCTCACACACACACACACACACACACACACACACACACACACACACACACACACACGCCAAAGGGTCGGCGGATTAAGAGCCTTTTAGGGTATTGCGAAGGCCTTACGGCTGTTGCCGCCGATCCTGAGGTTGGGGAGGAGGGCGCAGAGCATGGGGAGGAAGATGAGGAGGGGAACAGGAGGAAGAGGTGGATGAGGAGGAGTAGGAGCACAGGGGGGGAATGAATAGGAGGAGAGTGAGACGAGCAGGGTCGCATGTACAGGTGGAGGGGGGGGGGCACGAAGGAAGCGCAGGGGCGAGTAGAGCGTGGCGATCATGAGGATGGAAAGGAGGGAGAGAATGGCGAGGATGTTGACGATGTTGCCGACGACGCCGGCTGCCTATCAGGACCATTCGGGGCGTCTTGGAGCCCTCCTGGAGCGACTTCCAGGCTTCGTTCGCTGTTTAGGTTACTTTGTTGCCAAGGGTGTAATTTTCTGGCCCCCACATTCCTCCTCATCCCTTCTCCTGACTCTTCCTTCCCCCGCACAGGGAAGAAAACGTAACGCCGATGGAGAATGAGCTTTTAATGGGCTTTGTGCGCAACGCAACGATGCGGTGGAAGATGTTCTGTCTCATGCTGAGACTTGGCCATAGTATGAGCATAGTATCGGCAGCTGCTGGCAGCATGCCCTGTACGCAGTGCGACACGAACGGCGGAGCGACGAGGACTTGGGCGTTAGCACACACGCGCTTTTCGAATTAGTCGAAGCGATGTTGGGCTTGAAGCTGGCCTTTGGAGTTACTACATACGCACCGTCTCTCTGCATCGACCGCTGCGGGGAGACATTCGGATCGCAGGCGCCATGTGAAGACGATAGCGACAATGCTGGCGTGCGCGGCGAAAACGACCGTGACACGTAGAGCGCAGACGGTCATATGCACATGTTGCAGCTCCCGTTTCACAGCAATCGCGCGCATTCTCGAACTTGAACTCACAATTTGCATCAACCGCTTCACGATTGCACACATGACACCATTGCAGTCACCTGTTATATTAAACGCTCGACAGCGCACAAAGCCGGTCAAGGGTCAAAGTGCAACGTCAGAAGATATGTGTTGTCAAATGGTCAGATCCCTCCCTCACGCTCTCTTGTTCCTTATCCCACCAGGGATGGGGATAGGAATAGTGCAGAGGAGTGCGGAGCACAATGCGGAGGAATGTCGGGGAATGTGTAGGAATGCAGAGGAGTGCGAAGGAGTGTGGAGGAATAGGAGGAGTTGGGAGGGGCGCGGAGGAGTTGGGAGGAGTGCGGACGAATTAGAGTTGGGAGGAGTGAGGCTGGAGAAGTTGGAAGGAATGGGAAAAGTTGGGAGGAGCGGGGGGGGCATGGGAGGAGCTGGGAGAAGTGCGGCGGATTGCGGAGGAATGGGGAGGAGTTGGGAGGAGTACTGAGGACTTACGGGCATGAAGAGGAATGCGAAGGAACGAGAGGAGTGAGGAGGAGTGCGGAGTGCAAAGGAGTGCAGAGGAGTGGGGGGAACAGGAGGATTTTGGAGGAGTGCGGAGGAGTTGGGAAGAGTGCGGAGGAGTCGGAGAGAGTTGGAGGTGTGAGGAGTCACCAGTCCTCGCCAGTCCTGGGCACCTTTCGGCAGTCCTCGGCACTCCTCGGCACTCCTCGGCACTTCTGGACAGCCCCCGGCAGTCCTCGGCACTCTTAGGGAGTCCTTTGCATTCCGCGGACCTCCCCGGCACTCCTTACCAGCAGTCCTCGGCAGTCTCTGGCACTCGACGGCGCTCGTCGGCACTCGTCGGCACTCCTCGGCACTCCCCAGCAGTCCCCAGCAGTCCTCGGCACTAGGCGGCACTCCTCGGCACTCCTCGGCATTCCTCCCCTTCCACCCTGCCTTCCCCCTTCCCCCCCCTCTCCGCCCCCAAGAAATGTTATGCTGGGTGGATGCGAGTCGGCCCACGGGATGCGAGATCAGCTTTGCACAATGGGGGGGGGTGGAGCCGGGCGGGCAAGATGTACCTTTTCCAGTGAGCCGACATGCGCGGTAACACGACCGAAAGATGAGGGGCGAAAATGTACATACGACTGCAGAATATCCATGCGGGCCCATGGGGCACGGGCGAGAATACAAGAGCTACTTTTCATACGACTGCAGAGCATGACTGGTGGCAAATGTGCATACGACTGCAGACTATGACCTTGTGTAGAATGTTCAGAACCTTCTTTCACCTGCAGTGAACGCACGGGTGATCATGTGCACCCGCGCATCTGGCTGGGAGACAATGTGGGCGGTCCGCCGTCCCCGAGGGAACGCTTCGCAGCGAAGACACGCACTCTTCGCCTTTGACGTCGCATACTGACAGCACCGTTGCGCACAGCGAGGGCATGCACGCTTCGCACTTGAATTCGCCACTTGGTAACAACGTTACGAACAGCGAAGGCACGCACTCTTCGCACGTCCACTCGCACATTGACAGCAACGGCGCGCACAGCGAAGGCACACACACTCTTCGCATTTGAATTCGCAGATTGACATCAACGTTGTGCACAGCAATCACGAGCACCCTTTGCATTTAGAATCGCATATGGACAAGCGCTGCGCACAGCAATCGCACGCACTTCACCCTGACACCCCCCATCATTTGCGTTGACTAACGGCCCTGGGCGTTTACGAAACAGCCCTGCCCTGTTCGATTCGTTCCATGGGTGCGTTTACTAAACGGCTTCGCTCGTCGGGGTGCTTGTTATGACGGCGGTTATTCTGCACTCTATTTCTGGTCGTTTTTACACACGCCCTGGTGGTGCAGCTTCCCGTGGCTGGGCCAGCGTACTGTACCAGGCGGGGCCTTGCCGTGACGAATGAAGACGCGAGAAGGAATCGACGCGTGTCTGGTCGCTTGAGAGGAACATCCTCGACCATTTGTCAGGCGTCCCCCACCCACCCCGGAGCCGCCTGTCGTGGCGAGAGCGCGCTAGAGCCAACAGGCAAGTGGCGTGAAGCCCTGCTGTTTTGCAGCCGCCAATATGTGCACTCGGACACTCTGCGTGCCTGTACAACACTGGCCACTCTTCTCGCCGAGGGGGCGATTGCGATGTCCTGCGCGTGCGGTCGCAGCACTTCTAGAGGAACCCTTCCGCAAACAAGGTGGCTCTTGCTACGTCCAGCGGCATTGTTGCCTCGTGATGAAGGGTCGTCCAATGTTTGAGACGCGGGCACAGCGTGGATTGGAGGTGCCCCGTTCGGCGCGCGGAGCCTGGTACAATGTGACGGGGGTGGAGCTGTGCCAGCTGGGGGCGGGCAGCCTCGGGCTTGCACCCCCAGTTGAATGCTAGTACGGATAAGCGGGATGGCAGTTCGAAAACGGCAAACCGCGTGGGCTTTCCTCCCGAAAATCGAACCAGGTTCAGAAGTCGGTTCGAAAGAATAGAAGTTGATTCGAAATGATCGGACAGTAAGCGTTTGGTGCGGGAGTTCCTCGAAAAGCAGATTCGAGCCAGGTTCGATTTCGGTTTGCCGAGATAGACAAATGAGCATTCCGTGTGGGACTACTCCGGAACGCAGGTTCGAACCAGGTCTTGCTTCGGTTCGAAACAACAGAAAACTTAGCGTTTCGCGCCGCGGTGGCAAAATTGGGCCGAACTTCAATCGCGCCAGTGGGCAATATCGAACCGTCGTGTTGGCAAGACCAGACCGTGCTTTCAGTAGTCAGATTGACTCAAGTTGCCGAGTTGAACTTGGGTAGCCATGCCGACGGATGCTGAGTTGAACAACCTTCGGCGGGATGTTTTGAAAACGGCGCGAAGCTCTGCAAAGCAGAAGCGCGGCGCGGCCTCCACAAATGGCTGAGCGCGCCCAGACCCTGGCCGACGAACTGCACCAAGAGCTCAAAAACATCCATTGAGCAATATCAAGCCGTCCTCTTGGCAAGATCAGACCGTGCTTTCAGTAATGATCTTAGCGGGGGGATCTTGCGAAAACGGTGCGGAGCTCTGCAAAGAAGCGCGGCGCGGCCTCCACAAATGGCTGAGCGCACCCAAACCCTAGCCGACAAACTGCACCAACAGCTCAAAAACGTCCATTGCGCAAGATCAGACTGTCTTTTTGGCAAGATCTGAACGTGCATTCAGTAGTGGTCGTGTTTCAAGTTGCCGAGTTGAGCTTGAGTAGCCATGCCGACTGAAGCGGAGTTGAGGATCCTTCGGCGGGATGTTGCGAAAACGGTACGAAGGTTTGCAAAGAAGAAGCGCGGCGCGGCCTCCACAAATGGCTGAGCGCGCCCAAACCCTGGCCGACGAACGGCACCAATAGCTCAAGAACATGCACCGTGCCGTGCTGACAGATCGCCCAATGTTTGACACGCTGGCGCAGCGTGGGTCGGAGATGCCCCGCTCGGCGCACGGAGCCTGGCACAATGTGATGGGAGTGGAGGTGTGCCAGCGGGGGGCGGGCAGCCTCGGGCTGATACCCCCAATCAAATTTTCTGAAGGCTACACGTGATGCGGGTTCGAAGACGGCGAATCGCGTGGAGTTCGGTCCGAACCAGGTTCGGAAGTCGGCTCGAAACAAGAGAAGTCGGTTCGGAACAATAAAAAGTGAGCGTTCCGTGTGGGACTTCCCCGAAACACAGGTTCGAATCTGATCCGATTTCGGTTCGAAGCAATACACAAAGAGTTAGCGTGTCGCGCCGCGGTGGCAATATGGAGCCAAACTTTCGAATCACGCCCATGTTGCGCCCAGCCTGAGCCACGCCGTTCTTCACACGATTGTTGGCGCTCCTGGGAGCTCGATCGAGGAAAACGGGCGTCCCCTTCCCTGGGCGCTCGATCGGTTGTGGGCCGAAGGTCGCCTGCTCGTGCAGGAGGCTGCGCCGGCGCCAGCGGGAGGTGGGCCAGCGGGCCGCCCCTCCGTGGCCGAGCCCCCCCCCGTTGTCATTCGACGTGGTGCCGTTCTCGGCTCAGGTTCCGCTCCTCCCCGCCCTCCTGTCCCTCCTCCGCCGGCTTCCCTCCTCCTCCGCCTCCTCCTCTCCTTCCTCTCCGCCTCCCTGCGTGGATGATGAGAGCCGACTGCGCGGCGCTCGGCCGTCTGCGATGCGCGTGTCCGTCTTGCCGCTTTCATCCACGCACCGTCTCGGTGTCTGCTGTGCCGTCCGTCCCGCCCTCCTCTCCCTGGTCCTCCACTCCCGCCGCCCCCCCACCCCCTCCTGTACCTCTTCTTTCTCGTCCCCGCCCTCCTCCTCCTCCTCCTCCTCCTCCTCCTCCTCCTCCTCCTCCTCCTCCTCCTCCTCCTCCTCCTACCGCTGCGCACGCTTTGACACATGGTCTTGGCGTACGCGGCGCGCGCCCGCGCCCCTTCAGCGGCACGGAGGAGAGAGGCAGCAGCAGAGCAAGCGGCCCCCTTTCATCCACCCCCGACCCCACCCAAAGCAGCGAAGGAGCGGGAGTCGCCGTCGCTCTGCTGCAACAGCCGCGCGCCGTCGCTGCCGCTGACGATTACAACGGCAGCCGACGGCAGGGGCAAGGGCTCGTCACTGCCGCCAGGAGCACCCCGAATAGGGGCCCGCGGAAGGCCCAAGAGGCAGGAAAAGGAACAAGGCCCGGGAAACGGAACCATGGCGAGACGCTGATGTGCCCGCCGCGCTGGTCCGTGTCGCGCAGCGCTTCGGCCGCGCAGCACCCCAGAGGCCGGAGCCCGACGGATCCCGCAGCCCCCCGGGCCCCTGAGCGATCCGCGGACCGCCCAGGGGGGGCAGAGGGTGCGGGAGACGAGGGCCCCTCTCGAGGCTCCAGGCCCCCCCCCCCTCGAGGGCCACGCAGGCCGGCGCCGGGCAGAGGAGGGGCGGCCTCCGCCCGCGCCGCGCGGCATCGGCATCGACACCGGGCGCCGCCAGGG